AACACAGAAACCCTGCTTACATCAACAGAACGTGAAACGCTCGTGATCGAGGTCATCAACATCCTGCACACCTGCAGGACCCGATTAGAACAGCTGCAGTGCTCCGTATCAACAAGTTTGGACCGTGAAGCCATCAAAATTGCAAATTGGAACGCTTGCTTGCTCGCTCAAGAGCAATAACTTCGAGTTCGCTGAGTTTCTAAATGAACGAAACATCGACATTGCCCTGCCGTCATAACTGAAACCCACCTGAAGTCCGAAATTAACGTCTACCTTCCCGATTTCCGGATCGTGAGGCTAGATCTAACACGCTCTGGGGGAGGAGGAGTGGCCATCGCCCTAAGGAGAAACATCTGCTGTCGGCTGCTGCCGAGCTTTCAGCTGAAGACCACCGAAGACCGGCTTACTGCCCCAAACAAGTCAAAATCAGAAAATCTCCTAAATAAAGAAAGGAACAAGTCATCATCAGGGACGGGTCGGCAGCAGACCTAAGAAGAGATATTATCAAGCTAACACGGCGGCGGGAAAATTTCATAATCGCTGACCAAACATCAAGCCTGAGGCAACAGTCGGCGCAATCAAAATGGAGTGGTCAACTTCCAGCCCCTCGTAATATTTTAAAACTGTGAGATTAAGAAAACATTTGAAACCTTGAAGTTGAAACAATTTTTTGAATTTAGAAATTTCTTATAAATGTTACAGTGTGGAGTTTGCCAAATTTTCAAATTTCTATTACCAATCTATTTGAAAATTGGTGGTGGTGGTGTAGTGGTAAGCGTGATTACCTCTCACTCCAATGTCCTGGGGTCAATCCCAATCGACGTCGTCGGGATTTTCTAAGGCAAAACATCTCTAATCAGGCCTTCTTTAGGAGAGGAGGGCAGTAAAGCCGTTGGTCCCCGGTCCATGAGTTGATGGGTCGATAGGTAGGGTCCAGGTGTGGGAGCTGCTTCCCTGGTGTCGGTAGCATTGGTATAGAAAACAAGATCGACGGAAAACGAATCAAGGAAAATTACCGGAATCAAGGAATTTATTACCACGGTTGAGAAGTATGCAATGCAAAAGGAGAGAAATATACTTTTACGTTTTAGGTTAACTCCTTATTTCAAGTTTAATTAGTTTTTGATTTTATTTTTATTTTGACGAGCAGGACCCTTGAAGTTTCTCTTCTCGTTCGGAGAGGCTCCAGATCAATCAACTTGCAACGACTTTTATAGCTAGGCAAGTGAAACGGATCTCTCCAAGATAGCTTCCTCAGTACGAATCGAAGAAAATGTCGCTGAACGGACCCAACTCTCTCAATACCATTGTTGTAGTTTGAACTCCAGACCACAGAGCAGTATTCCAGCATGGATCGCACCAGGGAACTTGTACAGACTTGAGGCAATAAATGTGGACGTAAGTTGAGATTGAGAATCTAGAATTACTCCATCATAGTCAAACATAGCCGGTTCGTTCTTTCGAATAAACGTGAAACGTTGGGTTCAAATTGCACTAGCTGGCAAAGGCTTCAAACTGACGTTGAAGGAAGGGACAATCATCAATCGAGCAGATCCGTAAGTAGATTTTAAGATTATCATTCACGTCATTGAAGTAGAGTAAATAGATCATTCCTATTCCTGCCATGGCTAGGAAAATATCAGACCGGCAGTGACCAACTGTTGATCAGTGAGATATGTACCTAAAAGTGATGGTTTTGGTGCTAATATTTTTGTCTTCATAAATACGGCTTTAGGACCATTGTGCATTGGTCTCCAGAGTCAATTTTCTGGTCATAACTCCAAATTAATTCTGGTAAGACGCCAATGAGTGGTTTCGAAAAAAGCGGACCGTTAAGCTCAGTTTCAAGAACTGATTTTTTTTTATGGATGTTCAGGATCTTCCTGGTGAACCATCTCGTGGTCCCAAAGGTCCATTTTCTGTCTAAGCGTTCATATTCCGGTCACAACTCTAAATTCTTTCTGATAAAACGTTTATGAGTGGTTTCGAAAAAAAAACATGGAGCTCTAGGATCAGTTTCATGCATTGACCACTTTTACGGATGTTCCGGATATTCCGATGAGCCATCCCGTGGTCCCAAGAGTCCATATTTCGAACACAACTTCGAATTTATTGTGATAAGACGTCTATGAGTGGTTTAAAAAATCCGCGGAGCTACAGGATCAGTTTCATGAATTGACCACTCTTACGGATGTTCCGGATATTATAGTGGATCATTCTGTAGTCCCCAGGGTCAATTTTTCGGTCATAACTCCGAATTCATTCTGATAAGACGTTTATGAGTGGTTTCGAAAAATCCGCGGAGCTCTAGGATCAGTTTCATGAATTTGCCACTTTTACGGATATTCCGGATCTTCCACAGGATCAGACTTGTGTCCTACCGGAAACTGAATCGTCCCAAAAGGTGGCCAACTTGCTGCTTAACAACTTCTTAAAAGACATCAGGAAGTTATCTCTTCAAATTGCAGTACAATCAGTGTTAGGTCCCAATTAGCTCAAATCCCATATGCTACGTGTATTCGGATCGACCGGATCGGATCGACCGTACTATAGAAATCCAGCGGCAACCGTACTATAGGAATCCGGCAAGAACGAATCCGTACTATAGGAATCTTGACTGTATGAGCGAAACCATCGCAAGAGGCTACCGCTAACCCCAAGTCTATGCAACTTGACAATCGCGATGGCATGATTTAGCTTATCGAAGGCTGCTGCAAAGTCGATGTAAATGACGTCTGTGGCCTTTTAATCATGCTATCCGTGATATACGATGTCAGACACAGCAGATTAGTGGAAATAGAACGACCGGAAGTGAAGCTTGGCATATTTGCAGATGGATTCAACTTCAAAGTGTCTTAATTTGACACTGACCGAACGAGCATTTTTTCGCTTTGATGGTGAATTAGACGAAGGACGGCTAAAAGGCTGAGCCAAAGGTCTCCATCGCCGACTATTCCGGCAAGTTGAATCCAACGAGCATCATGTTCAAGAGTTGCTGAAATGCTCCGGGTGCCGTCCTTAACTACGAATTGCGCCGCTTGCCTTTCGATACACGACGATTGGAGCTGCCTACTCTGATAAATCGACAGGTGTGATGATGTCGACACGTTCCAGCCGGTCAACTCAGCGTCGATGGAGCTCTGGGCATTTACCTTTATTCAACATGAACTTCAGCCTCACCTTTGAGCATAAAACCTGGTTAATCGCTGAAACCGCTTGAACATTTCAAAGCAATATGATTATACGGATCCTACACAGCTACACAAATCTATTGTTTCAAATTAAATCGTGCGTTGCGTTGCGCTGCGTTTGTAACGGAGTAATTCGTAGATTGCATACTGGCAACTGTAATGTATTTACTTTAACGCTCTTATACTGTTTTCTCAAGGAAAACTGTTTGGCAGCGAATAGCTTTCCAATCAGAGTTCAGAAAGGGAAACGCATGATAATTTCCTTTACCGGCCGCCTCCATCTTTTCCGTTACGGGAAAAGGAAGGATATTGTTGGTGTAACATCTACTTAACGAGAGACCAGCGACTCCCCGAATTGGATAATTGAGTAGGAGATGGGTCAGGATTCGCTTAAGCAGGCGATGCGACCATAGTAATTGTTTTAATTTGGAGGAGCTTGGGAGTAAACCCAAGGGAGCTACCAAGCTAGCCGAGCTCCTCAATTTAAATTTATGAAAAATTAATTTCTATGAATACTGGTTGAAATATAATGTAAACTAATAAAAAGGATGGGTCTGAAATTGGTCGGCCTCCTCGTGATTCCTAGGCTAAGGTCAACTGTTCTCCCAAATTAACCATCATCTCCTTGGTCTTGATAATAAGAAACTAAGTTTCCCCTTGCTTTCCTCTGGATGATGTGCATCGGGATAAACACACCGGCATTCCCTAATAAATAAATACCATAAACGAACGATAACCCAAAATTGTTGAACTTTTCCACAAATGGTTTGGATGATATCCCAAACACGTCGTTAAGCAAAATAACCATAACAATTTTATTAGGGTTGCTCAGTGTCACTACTGATGTTGACCCACTTGACCCATGATTCCCTTCAGTTCTTCGTTTCTAACCAGGTCTGCTCCCGATGAACTGCACTTTTAATCCACTCTCAACACTTATCTGCAACACTTTTTTTTTAATTTAAATCACAAAGAAAATACGGAAGCACAATTAAAACATGTCACTTCTTCAACGCGACCTATCTATCGATATCGATCTATTGTTTTAAATAAAATCATGGATATAAAACAACCGACCCGGCGCATTTCATTTTCAAGATAAACATAATGACAAAGCTCAATATTCTTTACTGTTGACTTCAAGCATAAACAATATCAAATGTGTTAGTTCTACGAAAAATCGATCATTAATAATTATTGTATGGTTACCAATAAACGATATATTCCATTTAAAGTTGACCGATATTACAAAACCATATATTTGAGCATAACAGTTGCCATAATCATACCATAAAAGTTCGCGAGACATAAATAAAATTTTGAATGATAGGTAATGGTTCTTAACAACCCATTCGTTTCAACAACCAGATTCCGAAAACCATAATACATAAGGTTAAAACTTTATCACGCAAAAGTTCATTACCATAACAGTTGGTTAAGCATGGAAAATAAACCATTTTTGGTAAGGTCAAGTTATGGTTCCTGTTTATGCGGGATCACTCCTTTCAGAAAAAAACAGCCATCGATCCTATAAAAGTATAAAACATTATTTCATTCCACAGTCAACCTCACCCCCAACTCTAGCAACACTGCTTCCCGAATGGGACCAGACACTCTGGAGAAATGAACTCTCCCCCTAAAAAAAAAAGAAGTGTATCGAGGTCGAATCAAGAGCAAAGAGAGGGGGCCGCCACGCACCGAAGCAGGATGACTGAACGATGGCGTTGATGTGAAGATACGACGGGGGACAGCAGGGGCTCCGCTACACAGGATAGATTGATTCGAAAGGTGCTTGGCTAGTTTGCTTACCAGAAGCTCCTGGAAGGAGGTGAAGAAACTCATTTTTCCCTCTTCTGCTGGGCTGTTCCGCTCCGCGGTCGAGCGGTACTTGGGGCTACCGCCTGCTGACTTCCCTTTCTCCTTTTACCAACCACTGCTACAACTGCAATGCCAATCGGTCAACCAACGCA